ATATTTATAGTCAAATATCTCGCGGGATAACTTAAATAATTCGTACACGTTGGTTGCAATAATTTAGTTTAAAAATTAATACTTCACTATGACGAATCTTTGATTAAAGAACTTATACGACTAACAAGTACTTGTAATCTACAGTTTACTACAACCTCTTTGAAAATTATGAAGATCTCGTGAACCACTCAAGGTAAAAAATATCTAGTTCCCTTTGTCTTCCCATATTGTTCTACTTGTTGAGTGAAAAAACTCTGATATCCAACCTTACAAATTTAAGTCCAAAAGATTGAGTCCAAAATTAAGTACAGTGGTTATTTATTATAGAGACTATTTTCTGTTCCTCTCTTTCTCTCTCTCTCTCTCTCTCTCTTTAAATTCAGTTCAATGTAAGGCGCGTCTTACACCTGGAATCATTTCACGAGTCGTAACAACGACAAAAATGATTTGTTTTTTAAAAAAAACCCCCAAGGCTCGCGCAGCTTTATGAAAACTGACGCAGTCTCCGTCAAGGAAACGCGACTATAATATATATAAAAAAAAAGGAATTGGGTAGCAAACAAGTATGTCCTATTTAAATAAATCTTTCAACTCTGAATTTTCTTCCAAGTATTACCTGTACGTCGGTTGTACAAGTTGAAATCTCTTCTTTTCTCGTTTATTCCCTCGAGAACTTCAACTTGGCCAAAGGCACGATTTACGAAGATGGGTGTATGTGAAAAAGAACATTCTCATACAAAGAAAACAAAGAAACTCAAAAATAGACTGCCTTTAAGAAATTAAAGTAAACAATAAATACAAGCCGATGCGGGTACTATTTTTTGTACAGTGAAAAATGTACAATGGGGAGGGGAAAAAAAACATTATGTTCCCTGGGGAAAAGTATTTAGAGCCACTATCTCTGCCTCTGATTGCGATAAGGTATCGTTCCCGGAAATGCTAATTCCGTTTTCCGTCTAGTAACAATAAGTAGCGTCTCGATTCAATTCACACCTTTGGTGTATTCAGCTTTCAGTTGACCCAGCACTAATTTTATATCGTAAAAAGTAGGTCGTTTTTCAGGTTGTAAGTCCCATGCCTGGTGAAGAACGCTCGATTAATAATAATTCACGGAATACAATTATATTCGATCGCGCGCAGACGGTCTCGTACTTACTTGTCTCATAATGTCGTAAACCTCGTGCGGACATCCATCCGGTGGCTCCATTTTGTATCCTTTCTCCACGCACTTTATGACGTCCGCCAAGGGCTGGAAAGAACGCGAAACGAAAATTGTAATTATACAAAGGGTATGGAAAGGAAGAATATGTTACACACAGATTGTTACTCACGATTCGTGGGTATGGTACACGCCCAAAGGAATAGATCTCCCACAAGAGTATTCCGAAACTCCACATATCAGACTTATTTGAAAATTTCTGTAAACAGAAATGTTAATAAAATAGTTTTATGACTGTCACAAATGTATCTACCAAAAATTGTTTTACCATAGATCATTGCAATTTTACACCGATCATAGACTTGATCATTTTATCCTCTTGTCGAATTTGAACTTACGTTCTTTCTTTTAAATTTCAATGTTCGAATTTCTATCATTAAATGAGTTCAAAAGCTACAATTTTCAGGTAGAAAAAAAAATCATATATCTGACTTCTATATTCGAGTTATTAATGGTTGACTTGTTCAGAAACGTTCAGAAGACAACATCTACAGCTGCGTCTACACTATATAGCAAAACAATGTTATACAACAAATTATTGTATAACCTTGCTACACACCATGTTTTTATAACTTGTTACAGGACTATACCTTTCAGACAAATCTGTAACAAGTTTGTATAACATTTCTGTATGGATAACATATAACATGCTATATAACACGAAAAATGTTATGTAACATCACGTTATATAACATTTTTCTTTCTGTTTTTCTAACAAGTTGTACAACTTTCCTATATAACATATTATTTAGCGACATTTACACTCTGCTTTAAAGCCTCTGGTGCGGTCCACTTGATGGGCAGCTTGCCGCCCTCGAGGGAGAAGTTCTCGTCCCGTGCCAGCCCGAAGTCGGACACTTTGGCCGAGTTGTCCTCCGCGACGAGAACGTTCCTCGCGGCCAGATCTCTGTGCACTACGTGTCTGGATTCCAGATACGCCATTCCAGCGCACGTGTCGCTGAAACAAGACCATCGAACGCCGTATTTCCACCTGGATCCAGAAGAATAGACGACAAAACAAAACCACGCACGCCCACACCCAGATATAGGAAACACAGTTTCTCTCGCTTTACGTACTACGCGAAGTTGATCTGATCCTTCTTGGAGACGTGCAGCCTGCCCCTGGATCTCAGGTAATCGACCAGGGATCCTTTGCTCATATACTCCGTAACCAGGTACATGTGTTGATTATTGAATACAAGCCCGAGCAGCTTCACCAGGTTATCGTGGATCAGCGACGTCATCAGGCTCGCCTCGGCTAGAAACCTTTGGGCCGCCTCGCTGTTGTCCTTCAGCATCTTCACGGCGACCCTCTCGCCGCGATAGACGCCCAGCAACACGTCGCCGAACTCACCTTTACCGATACACTCCCTAAGCTCGAGCTCGTGGGTCTGTATCACCCAGCCGGCCTCCACGAACGCTTTCGGATCCACGCAGAAGTCCTGTTTCCCCTGTTTCGGCAACGATTTCGTCAGTTGCGTGCACAAACCGTCCGCGTCCTGCTCGTAATGCTCGACCAGCAACGCCAGATTCTCGAAGAACTCCTCGTCGTCGATGGTCAATTGATTGTTCTTGTATTTCACACGATAGTGCTGCACACGGCTCTGATAGCACACGCACAACGTATAATCGCCTGGGAAATTCGTCGACTCCCGTACTAGGAACAGACCGTCTTCTCTCGGTCGCAACAATCTCTCGGCAGTTTCCCGCGATATTTTCCCGTGGAACCATCTGCAACAACCCGGCCGTACGCGATTCTGGCTGGTTTAATTGGTTTTGGAACCGACGACGACGATGGAGGGGGATCTTTCGAGTGTGATCGCGAGAAACGATCAGGGCTGTTGCAGCAATTCTGTTGGACTTTTCGGGATAGATGCTTTCGATTGTTAAAAGAGGTGTTTACCAATCAGCTGACACGTCTAACGCTTTCGGAACGTGTCGGTTGATTGTATTTTAATTGATAATCCACGGTAAGATTTATTTTATTTTTACTTATGTATTGTTGTTTTCAGAAATTATTTACATATTATTTTCGTTAAATAATAAATTATTAACATTCAAATCATAATTTTTCATGGACGTCTGAGTAGACACAGTTAACAATTATTTGATTGTTACAGTTAAAGATGATTGATCCTTTTGGAAAATCATTTATCATCAGTGGAATGCATAGGATTGTGGATGGTATGATGGGATTGGAAGTAAGAAGATTTAGAACAATAAATTGCGGAAACACAGACTTATTGAAACATATATAAGAAAACAGATGCTACTATTGTGAACCTATAGAGGATTTCAACCCTCTTTGACCCCCTAGGTCTTTTATGGCACAAGCGAAATTTCACGCTCAAATATCTTCGAAACGATTCTTATCAAAAGAACCTTTTAACATTCAACTTTAAAAATTATTGAATCGTGTAATAGAGACTCTAGAAGGTATCCTTGAATTCCTCAGATATTTTGGAAGCCTGTAATAAGAAAATAGGTTTGGACATCAAAGAATCAGGAGGGTAACGGAGACAGTAAAAATAACGGGGAGCACGAAGGGTTAACAACGCAAAGGTAACTGAAAATTAAAATTAACAACTTTCGTCTGCTGCAATAATCAAACCACAGAGTTTTACTCCATAAGAAGAAGACACAGAAGAAACTATTAAGTACACTATTAAGTGTATTTTGATTGGTGAAAAGTTTAGAGGATTTTTCATGGATAATAATTATACACACTCGGAGAGTCCAAGAGAATCCCTGCAGCAATCCATCGGAATAGATACGTTCTGGGAATATCTGTGACAAATCTGTTGGTATTCTGTACGACACGATACTTTCACCGTTCCGAACAATTATGTACGCACGTAAGCTTGCGTATGAAAGCAGAACGAAACGGTGGAGATCTACGCTGCTCAAAACAATTAAGAGTGCCGTCTCTTGACTCAGTTTTGCGTTAAGTAGTGCTCCTGTCCGTCAACTCCGGCCTGCATTCTCTCTTACTCAAGCTTTCGAGTGAAACTTTCCGGTGAAAATATTATTTATACCGATAAATTTTCACCGGTATCAAATCCTTCGTCAAATTTCAATTTTGCTTGCAGGGTGGCTTAATCCCTTGTTATTCGATGACCGAGCTGAGAAGAGTCTTTGCATTGAAAGTTCGTATTTACTCTGGATTTCGATTTTCCACATAATTTTTCATTCTTTCAAGTAGAAAACAAGTCAGTAGGTTTAGAATCAAATGAATTACCGTCATTTCTCAATTTCCACTCGCCTAAACTTGAATAAAATAACCTCATAATACAATGTATGTTATTTCTTGTTTATCATTATTTTATGCATTAAAAATAATTTTATTTATATTTTTCATTCATTTTTTGTTTTCTTTGCAATCAGGAGAAAAGTAACGAAAAAAGAGAAGAAAAAATAGTACGAGTAATTATCAGAAATATAACGCCTAAATGAGTAGAAATTCAGACATTTAACTTATAGGACACGGTATTGCAAGGTATACATAACAAATACGTACGGCATAGCGTTCAGTTTGACCTCGTGCCTCGGATTCACCGGCAACGCGGTCGGATTGCTGGGATTTGTGACGTTCGTGGTGAGAATCACCGGCGGCGAGCCGGTGTTCATGTGACTGGTTATGCTCGGCGCGGTGACGTTCGGATGGGTAGTCATTGTCGGTGATACTGGATGGGACGGAATGTTGCTTGCAGACAAGTTGGAAGGAACGTTGTGTTGTGTTGTGCTGTTCTGCAGTAGGGGATGGGACGTTACGTTCGAGGGGATCGTGTGGTGATTCTGATTGCCGTCGAGCTTCGCTTGCCGCGCTGGCGCTGACACATTCGGGTATCCGCCACCCGCATTGTGGTACGTTGGCATCGCAACTCCCCGCCGGTAGCCCTTGCGAACCTGCAAACGACAACATCTGTTTAAGCACTCTTCACGTCCTACGTTCAAGTTAAATGTAGCTGGAACGACGATGTGAAAACTGTTAGGACTACTATCCGCTAAGGCGTCATAGACACATCACGATTGCGCTACGCTCGAGTTTCTGTCCACTTGAGCGTATTGGAAGCGTATAGAAAACGTACTGAAAGCTTCATTTTCCTCATTCGCAAAGATGTAGGGCGACGAAGAGGACCTTATCGCCTTATATAATAATTTGTTTAAAAAAAAAGATAGTTTCCTAACAACAATCAAGTCCCAATTATTTACATAGTGAAAATATACCGAGAGCTCCATTAAAAACATACGATCCATCTGTATTCTGAATAACAAATAAGTTTCTAGGAATATGGACCGATAAAATGTCTAGTATCTTCAGACTTAACGGTATGAATCGATGAAAAACGTATTAACCTTTGTTTCAGTGATTCGCAAACACATTTAAATGGTAATTATGAGTGAATATTTTAATCGAGTCGTTCCCCATAGTTAACCCTTGTACCACGTCAAACGCGCACGTACGTGCAATTTACGTTAACACGGCGGCGTAACGCGTATAGTCAACCGATACACGCCGAAGGTAAGAAAAAGGAGCACGGCTATCGTGTATCGCGAAGACAAAATCAACGAGTGGAACCACATGCTCGCGCGTACCAAATCCCCCACGACGGTGCAGATCTTTATGGTCGTTACCCGAGAAACAAGATATCCGAAGCATGCTCTCGCGACAAATGCAGTGCCAAAACATTTCTTGATAAGTCTCAATTACAAAAACTGCCTCTCGGCAAAGGGAACCGCGATAGACGTCGACAACACGGATCCACTTCATAGTAGTAGAACCAAAGTTGTCCATCGTGCTTCAACATCCCCTAAACTAGATTTACTCGAGCACTTTCAGCATTTATTGTTATATGTAAGTACCTTAGATAGTCCTACATTATGACTTACGTTTATGTCTAAACTATTTATGTTCAGGATACGTGTAAAAAAATAAAATAAATATGATCTGAAAACCGTTTCTTATATTAAAGTAGCCTACGATGAAAAACAAGGACGACACAATGGAAATTATAAAACCTCATTTTTTTTTCGGATGTCCGAATATGTCAGTTAGGACAATTAAGGAGGGCAGTGTATGTGTCGCTTGGTCAGTTTAATCCAGAGTAAACAGTTGCCCGAAAGGAATAAAGAAAACGAAGATCGTTACGCAGAATCGCGACGGAAAAGGTGTCACCCCCATTAAATTTTATGAAGCAAAACGACCACAGTGTACACACATCGAGGCGCACCATATTTAATCCCCCGTGCCGTGGACTGAGGTGAGCATTTAATAAGCCTGTTAGCTTAAGTGGCCATTGTTCCGACACGTACACAACACTATCCGCTCGTTCCATCCGCATTCTAATGCGCCAGACACCGATAGACGACGGACGGACATGCGTGAAAGATGAATCACGGGCTGGTGTATTTTCATGACCGTCTGGGAAACGAATTAAATCCACGCATTTAATGAAACCCACAAACTATTATACTTTCCATTCACGAGTTCAAGCTCGCGAGTTCGCCATTAACGCCCGCGTTTCTTTTTGCAGGCCCCGTTCGGTCGCGAAACGGGACTAGCGAAGGAAATTTCCGTTTCGAATTTCCACAGCGTTAAATGAAGTAATCGGGCGACCGTGGATGATGCATTATCGTAGACGGAATCGAAAGTTTCGAAATTTTTAGCGCAAAAGTGGGTACGAATAATAACGATGAATAATACATAATTAATAGAAATAGCGTATTAAATATTATACATTATTACGTACACTTCGTTTTTTAACCCACTTACAAATCAGCATTCAATTTGCAATCAGAGTAAAGGGTATTTTCACTTTCACTCAATATGACGAGAATATTTAAAGAAAGTGATTTTGCATTTAAATATTGAAATGTGCAATGATTTTCCTAACAAATTTTACAAATCGAACATTTTGTGTATCGACCACTAGCTTTTTAAAAAAAAATATATATTGTATCATTATATTTATACCCGTTTATTCGGACACCTTTTCGTCTCCTGGAGATGGAATTCTAAAAAAAATCCTGAAATTAGCTTCATACAGAACTGTGTTTCCTTGAACTATCTTATGTTTCCTTGCTTGGTTTTACATTTAGGTCACCTTGTGTTACTTAACTGCGTTGAAAGGAAGAATAGTGCTATTCATTCGAATTAAACGTTTCGTTCTAGACAAACGCCATGAGTCACTGATGTTACTTGCAACATACGGATTCCTTCAAAAGGAATATCTTATTTTTAAACTGTTAACTGGGTAAGATTAGTCGAGAGATAACATTCAGATAACAAAATTAGTAAAAAGTACATTCACACCGGTGGTGTTTAAGGTAACGAAACGAGCTCAACGTTTCTATTCCGCTTGAATTTAAACTCTTGTTTTCGTTGATTAATCCAGAAACACGTGGATTTGCATAAACAACCGCCGGCTAGTTTGCTCTTCGTAGCTCCAACTTCCAAGGTAAATTTGCGTGCTGATGATCAACCGTATGAGTCAGACGATCCATAAAGGCGGTATAAAAAGTACCTCCTGAATTCATTTCGCATACTTGGCAATGTTTTTCAATTTCACATTAATAGAATAGATTACGAGAAACGAAATGAAACAGTAAAATTTTCGAAGGTACAACATTATCAAATCTCACGGTTAGAACTTCAGTTTTGAAATTTAGAATTTTATCAAAATTTCAGTTCCTTATATGTAAATGAGAAATTGGTTTTTCTCGATGGACAAAGCCAAGCGAAAAAGTATTACAATTTTTATTAAAAAAAAAAAGAATGGCGTATTCGGTGCAGATCGTAGAGACAGCAACATTTCGACGGATTCCGTGAATGATCAGAGGCACCAGAGGAGAAACAAATCCGTTGCACGAGCAAATATTGAATAATTCAACTGGAGTTTATCCTTGGTCGGTGTCTATGACGAGTACGTTATGTCACATGAAAATAAGCTGCAGCCGGACATACTAATACGAGAATCGGCATTACGTAAGTGCACCAGTGACAACATTTTGTCGTCCGTTTTTCGAATTTCGAACAGTGATGCATCCCTATTCAAACGATGCTTTTTTACCGATGAATGCTGTAGTATGTCGTGTCTTATCTTGAAAGGATAACTCGAAGAATCTATATTCTTTATAAAATATAAAATATATTAAAAGTCGACATGAATATCGAGAAAAGCAATTTTATGATTCGAGTAATTGTAAAATAACAAATCTGAATTCCGTCATTTTGACGGGTTTGGTAGTTCTAGTGTTAATATATAACCAATAATGAACTTAATTGTTTAATATCACATAAATGAACATACAGCTAATGTTAGAAAGTACACATATCGAACTCTTGATAAAGTTTCATAGTAAAAAAAACATAACAGTATCTATCTTTAGTTCATAGACGAATTCTACATAGTCCGAGTTTAGAAACGCTCTTTGAGGTCATTGAGCCCCTGTCTTAAACTTGCATAGCTACCACCCCCACCCTATCCCTCGACTTCATACCCCTCCCATCGATTGGGACACAGTAAAGGTGGGGATCGTGTCGAAGAAGGAACCTTGAGCGGTCAATACTATCTACCACCCCTACAAATCCAAAAATCTTTACTTGTCATAGACTGTATGCCGTAAGTACCAAGACACCTACTTTATTTATTAAAAAAACACGTTCCACATATATGTTCTAACACGCTTTCCACCACGTTTATTACGTTATATGAGAAATTAAGGGATTCATTTTTTTTTAAAGGATTGAGCTGATTTATAATTAATAGTTTATGCACATTTAGTGTAGAATATACGGACAAAATATTATTCTTTAACATCAAAGATGAAAAGAAAAAAAATCTCATCACAAAAGTGCAAGAAGCGGCGTATTAACTTCGCTCCAATAATCTTCTGCGGACTGGAAAGTTATGATCTGACGTGTTTTATAGATATCATTTGTCGATTTTCGTTTTAGCGTGGAGATATCATCCGTCTGTATATCTGGTGTGTATAAATCACTATGTATAAATTTAATTGATCGATTAGACCAGATATACTATCTCGATGAAAGCTTCAAGGTTACCTTCATTCTCTTTATTGAGCCTTTACCGGTTGGATACCCTAGGCGGCTATCTTTATGACACAAGCATAATTGTGAGAACAATTAAAAGCGTTTATTGCCTGCTGATAGCGGGTACACTGTGTTATTGGTTCGATGATGTAAACTCGAAGCTGTAAGAGAACGTGTTTAATATCTTGCAAGGTACCACAGGTGATAGAAAAATTAAGAGATTGTAAAATACATTGGTGATCCATGAAACAATAATTCGTTTATTTTATCCGTTTCTCTGATTATTCCACGGAATATATCGTATAAGCAGTTATCTTCCAGATATTTAAGGTACCTATAAGCAAATATTCAGCTTCCATTGAAACAATATTCCAAGAGCTGCTATGCGTACAGATAATGCAAATATGAGGCTGAAGATTTTGGAAAAATCTTATTGGATTAAAAACTTATAGATTAACCCTCGGAAAACGAAGAAGGGATCATTTTTCAATATAAAATCTATACATTACGAAAAGGTATAAATATTAAAAAATCTAATTTTATTATCAGATATTATTAATATTATCAGATTCGTTATCAGATATTTAAAATTCGAGTGTAACAGTTACGAAATCTCTTAAGTATTCATTGGTGCGTTTACCATATATGTATCTAGGAACTGAATGTCAGTAGAAAAACAACCATGCGATAAACAAGCGTGTCTTTTGCAATTTTCGCGACACTCGGGTGCGAAGTGAAACGATAAATCCGTCCTGAAACGACGCGTCGACACCGAAGTTATTCGCATCCACGCGAAACACTGGCCTATAATCCCTCTGTTACGGGCAATAAAGCGCGGAGAAGCTTTATGCCAGTGTTAATCCGACACGAACAGCAAATGCACGGACGGGGCTTGCTGAATCAGGCCCGTTTCTATCGGGCGTTTAGCGATACAATAACAACAACTTAAATGCCCTTTAAACGATCCGTTTACATACGTTTGATGCGCATATTACGCACGGTTAACCCTTTCCCCTGTAAGATCGAGTCAGACTCGTGTTGACTATTTGAAAATCGATTCAACAAAGAAGAATATTATTCGAGGCACAGCATTATTCTGCCCGCTTCCAATGAAAACCACAAGACGTCTCGGTTCCGTTCCACGCGTCTAAAGATATCAACCGACAAGAGAGGGGAAAAAAAAGAAAAGCTCGCTGGGCCCGTTAAGCACCGTATCGAAGTGGCGAACGCATAAAATCCAAGTACAATTTTGCAACCGGATATGTATACAATTGCAACGTGGCCAATTATATCTATCGTCGAGGGTAATTAAACGTTATTATCGACACGTTAGCGATATCACGAGGGGAAAACTCATCTCAATTATAGAAATTAAGAACACTGTTGAAACCATGCTTAAAAACTCGCTACGATGCAGGTTCCATTTTAATTTATCACGTGAAAACGCTCTTTCGGCTTTCGGACGATTGCTAAGTGATCCTCGAGGTGGAAGTGATTTACGCCGTCATTTTGCCGCTGCGGACCAAAGCAGACGGTCCCGTGGAAAATAAGGCGAGACACTGCGGTAATACGGTAACACGACCGTAAGAAATTGGAACAATGGTATATACGTGAGACGAGAAGTAAGGATTATGTGGGATGACCCACTTGGATCTATAAATGGATTTATCTCTAGTGTCTGGTACACATAGAATTCACTATTGTTCGAGTCGATGCGAAGTGTACGGGTGGAGGGAACTGGAACATTTTTATACAGGGTGATTCAGACGAAACATTAACCCTGTAACATCGAGTCAGACTCGTGTTGACGATTTCAAAATCGATGCAACAAAGACAAATGTTTTGAAGTGAAATGCCACGTTGCTGGGATTAATATTTAATAAGTTGCAATAAGTACAGAATTCTTTTCGTTTCTTTCGTATTACCATATGCAACTTCCGAAATTCGGTTCATACAATTTTGTAAAATAAACTAGATGACCCGTACGTTCCAAACATACATGCGTTTTACGTAACTATTTAAAAATTGCCACTCTTGTACCCTAATGAGGACTCATCTCCGTTTATCCTTACCATCTTAATAAAAATAATTAAATAAATTTCGTAATTTTGTTCTAATACTTATGAGCCGGTGTGCACAGCTATAACTCCAATTCTGGCTACAGACTATCCATCTTCAACGAATAGAACGATTTATGTTGACCAAACGTGGGGGTAAATCGCGAAAAAGACGGTGTGAGAAATTTTCGTGCCTCGAATTGACTGCACGGGCCAGCGAGACAATCCTCTATTTTTTTTTTTCACGGGTAATTTATGCGAAGCTCATTCGCGGTGTCGTCTCGTAACCGAGCACTATTAATATCCCCGGCACGCGAGGGAACGAACCCGGGTTAAAGAAAAAGAGAGGAAAGAACGGCCGGGAGCAAAGAGCACGGGGCTCGGACAGATTTGCTCTGGCGTGGTTCTCTTTAACAGTACACGTTACTGTACCCTGACCCGCCGTTTTCCATCTGGCGTTGCTGGTCTTCACTAGGGCTACTACTTTTAAACGGGTAAACAAAAATTACACGGGTATACATGAGATACGTATCCGAATAGGGTCATTCCACGCGAAATCGAACACTTTTTGGAGCACCATTTCGGATTGTACTCAAATTTGGATATGTTGTAGTCTTTAGCGATATATAAACGTATCTCAAAGGATTTTGGAAAATTTTTTAAATTGTTGATTTTACAGCTGTTTGAAATTTAGGGTCGACCTTTTTTCAATAAATCATAACAATTGAACTAACAAACTGATCTTAGGTATATATTCGAATATCTCATGGATACCGAAAGTATCTTTTAAAGCCACAGCTCTAGTCTACACACGGTTCACAATTTCTTACTTTGGAAAACGGTTTGCGGTTTTTTCTCCCGCCCTTTCGAGGGAGGAAGAAACTACACCGCGCCGGAAGGAAACTGAGAACACAGAGGGGTAGATATTTACAGCTGGGGTTTAATCTTCAGCTGCTAAATACGGACCTTTCGGTTGCCAAGTGGTGTAAATCTGGATTTGTAGTCGATTTTAGACCAGGTTTGTAAATCGTTTCACTCTGGATGGAAGGGACACAGACTGAGGTCGTAAAATCAACCGGAAGTTTAAGTACTCGTGTTTCGGACGCTGGGTCCAAGCAGTCGAGGGAGAAATGCGAGGAGTGAGGGTTCTTGAGGTTCACTCTTTGGACTCCTATGTCAATCCCCATGGTGATTTTTGTTTTAATTCAATGTAAATGGATATCGAAACGTTGGAAGAAACTTGGGTATTATAAATGGTAATTAATATTTGTGCTTTCCTTAATTGGGACAGAATGTACGATGCAAGACAACGTGAGTTCTCTTACTTCTAACAGTGGGGCAGACTTCCGCCACTTGGGAACCTTGCGAACCTATGGTACCGGAAGTTGAGGATGTTCGGGGAACAATTGAAATAATATCGGTGGAATGATGTTTTTGTTACACCTATATAATTATTTTTTATTATTGGAATAAATCGAAAGAATAGAGCCGATTATGAATTAACTGTTAAATTAAAAAGAAAATAGTACTTTTCAGAGGCTAGATCTTTAAGCAACGTGAAATTGAACGATACCTAGATGTAACCCTGTTGTAACGTTTCCGAAAACATACAAGAATAATCTTTAATAACGTCTCCTATCATTACTTCCGTATTACTCCAGACCTCTATGCTTTTAACCACACGCAGGAAGCATGTACTCAGAAACAATTCGAACCTACAATCAATTCACTGCGTGAACCAAACAGACCGCGAACACTCAATCGTCTCTATAACAGAAACAAGCCCCCACGCCGTTAATACAATCTTGTTTCCTTATTTCCAAATAATAGAACCCTTCTGGTACACACGTTAATGGTAACATAATTACTTTCAGAAAATATTCAGTATTCGTTCAGGAACTATGGTCAACCAGCATTTCCGGCAATTCGTTCCATCACCTTCACTGCCTGTTTTCATCATCTCATAATTGGACGGTTGTATCCGATTCTTAACAAACTCTACCGTCACGGAAACAAACAACCTTCTCGAAACTATTTTTAATACCTCGAAATCAAAGCAGAGATAGAATTATATGTAACAGTACTCTTCTATTTAACCTTCTTTCCGATTTCACAAGTCCACGTCACGAGTCGCAAGCTGCAACGGAATCCGCAGTTTTTCTTTACAGCCTATTATTTTCCGCATTTTAACGTCGTTCTACCGCTCATCCGACGATCTTCACCTAGAGCTACGTTTCCCACCGTCCTGACAATAGCGATGTAACACGATTCACACGGGACAAGTCGACGGGGATCGGTATCGAAACGGCCGCGGCGCGGTACAGAGACTCTCGGTTCTTCGAGACGCGTGGCGGAAAGTATGACGTGACCCAGAAAAATCGTCTGTCGCGGACTGACGCGCCAAACGCTCGAAGATTAATCAAGCCCCCTTCCCCGAGGGGGGAAACAGAGCGAAACAGGGGGACGAAGAAAGGTTTATTGTGCCACGAAGGAACGAACGATCGGAGGCCAGTGCCACGCGAAATGCACGTAATACACCCGCGAGGTTGCAACGTTCCTCGTATACAGGGTGTCTCAGATAACTTGATCACCTTGAATAACGACTTAACGGTACACTTCATGAAAATTTTGAGGCGTACAACCTAAATGGCATTTTTTTTCAGTGGAGGCATTTCAGAGATTTCAAGGTCACCTTGATTTTTTTTAACAGTACGACCTATTTTTTGTACCATATACCGTCATACGTCCTAACCCTAATAGTTGACGAGATATTTACAAAATAATCACTGTATTGAAGTTGAGGGGCATCAGTTCGAGTACCTATAGCTTCCAGATAGTAAGTATGTATTAAAAATTATTTTGTAATAACATTTTTACTCAGAATTTGATACTCTATCGATCTATGGTACAAAAAATAGGTCATTCTGTTAAAAAAAAATTAAGGTGACCTTGAAATCTTCGAAATGCCTACACCCACAAAAAAAGTACGTACCTTATAAAATGTGCCTCTAATGCCATTTAAGTTGCACGGCTCAAAATTTTCGTAAAGTGTGCCGTTAAGTTTATTCGAGGTGATCATGTTAGCTGAGACACCCTGTATATACTTTATAAAGGCTTCCCTTGTTCCGCGTAGTAATTATATTTCGAGAAAGCAAGAGAGAGAGAGAGAGAAATTTCTGGAAACTCTTGAAGCCTTAAGGAACGTACCGTGAACCAAGTTATTGAGTTTTATTAATGAGGGGGAGACCGATATCAAAAGACAGGAAGCCAAACGATAATAGTCCGGCTTCGTTCCCCGTGGTCGACGAGAAAAGTCATTTAATTGATCAACGGGCGTACTTCGAAGAATGTAACCTTTAAGTACAGTAATACCCCGAAGTTACGGCATGGGTGGTTCTGGCATTGGTGGTGTAAGTCGTAAAAGCGTAAGTCGGAGTACAAATTTCCATATAACTTTATGAATTTCAATAATTCCCAATACCAAGTGATGGGAGGCCATTTCGTCGTAGAAATGGAACCGTATGGCGACAATTACCGGCGAATGTAAGTGTTCTACGCACTTGGCGCGGTTATCTGTCTCTTCGTTTGTAATTGAAAGTTGACGAAGGTGGGAGTAATACCGAAAATGGTAGGTACAATCACGACAAAACTAACGAGACAACCGCCGCGACATGTAACTAGGTATTACCGCGTTTGAAACGTTACCTATACTTCAGACTGACTGTCCATCCTTCGGGTATGTTCTCCTCTGAAACAGGAATAAAATTAAATCCATTATTATATCATCGGAATAACACATTAATGTCTATCCAGAAATTTTTAGAATATTTTCTTTTCATTTAATAGTCACTCAAAAGGTCGACTGATCAAAGCCAAACGAATCGGGAGAAGAAAATAAAGAATAAAAGTTTATCGGAAGTCCGTGCAAGTATTCGACGACCGCGTGGGTACCCGCAGAAGCCCGATCAAAGTTGTACATACAATTCCGGCTGCGGGAGAAATCGATCTCTCTCTACACTCGATAAATCTTGCCCACGATATACCCTTCGCAGTCGGCTCGAAAGGCTCGCGGAATTCCTCTCTAGAAATTTCGAAAAAAAAAAAAAATTGCGGCCGCTGACTAACGCGTTTTTAAATAGTCGATGGAAGAGTGGGAAGTGAGCGTGTCGTAACGAATTTAATGAGACTAACTATAGAAACCGGGGGAGGGAGTGAGGCGTTTCACCGAGACGCTCAATTGCTAATTAAAATACCGAACAAAGCGGCATATATGCCCGGCGTCTTTCGTGGGTAACAACAAACAACAGGCTTTAAATGTTAATCCGACAAGGTGCATACGGAATTAATGCGAGTCATAAAGTCCGAAGGAATATTTTTCAAGAAGGATCTAGATAAAGCTGCGGCGAGACACTGACCGCGCAGATAAAGCCGTAATAAGGGGCGTCACGCAGAAAGATAGGTAGATACGTTTTGTTTCGCGAAATAAATTTTCGCGTTTAATGCAAATTTTTCTGCTGGTTCGGCGTTACGGAATTTTAATCAATTTATTTTTAAACGAAAGTTCGCGACGAAATATATATATACATATGTCAGAAAGGGGATATCGCTGAATTGCTTTGATAGTGGCATAACTTGAAAAATGTCAATTTTACAAGGGAAGCATTTAAATAATTCCAATTGACTGACATTTGAATACTGACCTCATTATTTATTTAAATTCATTTTGCTCTTGCGAATATTTAGATTAGGTAGAAAAGTATTATCCCTGTGGAAATTATTTATGCAAGAAAGGTAAAATGTCTGTTCTTTTTTTATTTGGGCCACTATCAAAGCAAACCAGCGATATGTTCTTCTTGATTGACTCATTTATTTGTTTTTAGTTTTTTTTTTCTTGATTGTCTCAACTTAATTTGTCCGTCAGTGTCAAATTGACCCACTGATAAAAATTAATAAAATAAACTTATAAATAGTTAAATTTGCAAATTCTTTAAAGTAAATGTCACGAAGCGTCCGGTAAATTTATCTACAGATGAAAGAATAACCTCATTTCTTAGGAGAAAACTGTGTCAAATTGGCAGAAGGGGCGGATAAGGGTTAAAGGATCTCACCCAGCATCCAGCATTACTTCCTGTATTTGGGATTAAACCGTTAGCGTTTGATCGTTCTGGACACCCAGCGTATCCTAACATTCAGCAGCGCAAGGTTGCGGTCGCTGCCTCTCACTCTGCTTCCGAGCTCTGCTTAAGGCCGTATTAATTAGGTAAGAAACACGCGTGAGAGAATCGTTGGTTCCTCGGCGGATCCGCACCGGTAAGACGCCGGCTCTACGGTTCTTTCTTTTTTTTTCGTTTCTTTTCTTCTTGGTCTAGGCGGTCGCATCCGCGAGACGCATGGAAAACTATCCTCGGAACGGAAGAACGGCCCATTTGCCTGCGTACAATTATGCATTGTGACTGAATTATACTTGGCGTGGATGCCGTGTACCGTTCGTTAACCTTGTAATTAGCCAATTGCTAATTGCTCGAGTTCGCATGAGCTGTTTCGCTCGTCCTCGGAACCATATTAATCATTTACCCGCGCGCGGCCTTACGATCCGTCTCTCCCCTCGTTTGACAGAGAAGGTACGCGCGGATCGCGGTATTGTCTCTCTAATTGGCGGCGAATTCTGACAGTCACACACGTTCATAAGCGATAATCTAAAAGAAACTACTTTTGTACAGGAGATTGCATTAAAATATGGATGTCACTGCGAGGATGAATTCGGTAATAAGAAATTACCATATGTAGGGTAAAACAACCAGTAACCGCATACCAGACCATTAGGCAAAGAAACGTAAATTACAAATTTAAAATTCAATTTAGTATCCCATATTTTTAGTTTACCGTATTGGGCAAACATTAATATCTACAATTTCTTATTAAAAATATTTCAGCAGTATAACAGTCACTGGGTTTTACATGTTCTGCACTATTATAAGTAATTTTTTTTAAATTGCGATAAGAATAAGTGTTTTTATAAAAATTTTAAGAAAATGTAAAAAACGTCCATAAATTCAACAAAAAAAAAAAAGGTTAAATCTATGTCTTATTGATTCAATACAAACTACACTAACGAATAATTTCAATTATAACCATTTACAAATCTTTATTGTGAAAGCTCAACTTATTCAGTTCTTAGTCAATCCTACAGTCACTAGTCATTCCGAATGAAAGAATCTCAGAATGCAAAGGGTTGGTACTGTAATGTTAGCCCCTTGCCTTGACATTTCTCTCGTGACTACGCTTTATAGCGTATATACACTTGCACTGTGACTCATTAAATATCCCCACGTGTCGACCCTTGTTACAGTGTTTATCGTACTTTTGAAAATACAAGTTGTTACACTTGGATCACTCAAAAACATTTTGTACGGGAATTATGCCAAAGGAAATAATCATTACGGGTGTCCCCGTTCAGATCATTAACTTCCGTTCCACGTATATATATATATGTATTCTTGCAGGGAATAATTAACGCGTAATTTCAGGTGGTCAGGTTAGATGAATCAACCTACCTGTATGGAAACCGGACAGAAATAGCGAGCCGAAGGATAGAAAAAATCGTGGCGGGAAAATTGGAATGCAAAGGGCACGTGTGCGTGTCGACGCGCTTCGATTATCACCACGAACCGGGCGTACCGATGAAACTGGCTTTGCAAACGTTCGCGTGATTCGATGAACGATCGTCGTGACAGGAATCATTCTGTTTTTTTCTCTTTCTTTCTCTCCGGTCTTTGAATACAACGCAATAATTTTCTACCCGGCGATGCGCGTTTCCAATTCGCGCCCGAAATGACATGGGATTTGTGGGAAATATTGTGATGAAAACGATGTATAGGTAAAATTTGTACTTAACCAGTCAAACTTACAAAAAGATCATACCGATTATGTTAAAAAATTTAGGGAACTAGTATAGAGCCAGATTTTAAGTCATGTGCAATCATAGATATAGATACTTAACCGTTCACGACAATTACTTAAGAATAACGATCACATATGTCTAGAGAGTAGGTAATATTTCTAACTTCGCTGGTCCATCAAGAAGGAATGGTAGTGCAGTGGCAGCGATGCCAACTCCGAAAGCCAGAGGCTAAGCGTTCGATTCCAACGGAGAGGACACTTCTTTTATAAAAATAAAGTAATACCTCGCTGCGATTTATTCTATTTACATTTCAATTGATTGATTTTTAAGTACTTCATTGCGTTCTTACATTCTAGATAATCATGAAAGCGATATCTACCATAAAATCATTCAAGATAAGAATATCCAGTGCACTGTGATATCATAGTCTAACAATAACATTGTACCTTACAGACATGGTAACATAGATGTAGTATTCAATTAACATTTCAAAATACTCCATTCAAAATTAATTTCGAGACACAGGGTGTATACCGTGAAATAGTTTAAATACGAGCATAGGAAGATAATTGTAATTCTTAAATTACAGAGCTGCGGTTCTAAAGGGCTTCAAGTCTAGCTGCCCGCTAACATTCCAGAAAATTCTTCTTTTTTCCGCGCTGCATAAGTTGCAATTGCACCGCGTTTTTGATTGAGATATATACGATGTTTAAATTAACGAATCCTTTCGTTCTGTCGCGATGATTGCCGCTAAAGGTCTGTATACATTGCGTAACGCCGAAGACACGTTAATCCCAAATGCGGTACGACAACAGATAAGGAGGAGAAACTGAAAGCAACAGCGTCGATTCTTTACCCCGTGATCGCCTTGAATGTTAGAAATTGAAATCGAGACCGGAGTCCGCGGACAGTCCGTAACCTCGAAAATTATCGTGTATCGGGTGGACGTTAACGTTCCGCGCATACATGTGATATTTTTTGCGGAACCGAACGTGCCTAAAAAGCAAGACGCGATAATGTCACCGCACGTCGATACGGGACGTATTGAAAGTACGGCGGATCGTGTTATTTCTCTGTGATTCGATGCATTCAGAATGCAACTGCGTGTGTCATTTAAATAACGCCCACTTTTGACTCGCGAGAGAGAGCGTAACAACTCGAAATGTAATCTTTGATCTAATTGAATCGCTCGCGGAATTCGTGGCACGATCGGCCTCACTAAACAGAACGTTCCAGTTTCTGTCGTTTTATCGTGTATATGACGGAAGAACGTCTCAGAACGACAAAACTGGTAACGTTTTAACGGGTAACAGTACCGCAACAGTTTTATCCTGCGCGTAAAATACAACGTAAATGTGGTGCTCACCTTGTCGTATACGCGATTTTTTCTGGCGGACCTGCGGATATACACAGGAAGCACGGTAACACTATGTCACATGAACGAATATTCATAGAAACCACACGAAACAACGATACAATCACCTCGCGAAACGTCACACTCACTTTGGTCGAGCGGCCATTTTGCTACACACGACCCCGAGCGAAGAACATCTTGATCTACGAGAGACAGAAGCTTGAAGTTAATCCACTACAATATGCTAGTAACTTTGGCGGTGCCAACGTTACAGAATTGTAGCCACGGTTTAGTAAATCGGAGACGATTACTTCGTGGTTTTTCAGGGAAAATAACTATATTCCCGTATGTATAGTGTGAAAGTTTAAGCCGATGTTTTCATAAAATATTTGGGGCGGATGCACAACATTTACGGGAAAAGAAGATGTTCCGAAACTGACTGACTGGTACCACCGACAGGTATAGAATAGACCTAGGTATAGAATAGACCCATCATCCCATGCTCTTTTTTGGCCCACCTTCGGAGGGCTACGTAACCCTCTTACCATTTCAGTGCCAATACCCGACGTTACCGATAAAGCATGAATCCTGAGTATTATTAGCACAAATGGAGCATTATATATTCCATTCATAATACGTGTATCCAATATGATTTGGTGGGAATAAAAATATCCGATGCTTCGGTTTAAAAGATGAATAGTGTAATACTGATGAAATATGATAACTTATTCTAAATTTCATCGTTAATGAACATTTTAGTAATGTTACGTTTCCCACGTTCCCTTTTTATTCGTTTGTATATTTTTTGTATCTGATAACGTGATATAAGAATCCTAATACGCACAATCAATTACCTTCTGGTAATTGGTGAGGAAGTAGTTAAACAATGAATTTCGACCCAACTAGAGCTTAGCTAGTCAAGCTTTCTTCATGAAAAATAGTTTTGATCTATTATTTAATTGGTAATATCTATTGTATTGTATTTCATAAACTTGGGCATCATTGTCAAATTGACAGGATATATTTATCATAGATGGCGTTAGTACACCATTAGAGGATTGAAAACTTCGAGAAGACGAGAGTAAAATTAATACTTTCGATCTATTAGGAAGTAGAATATCACATTCCCGGGGATAGTGTGTGTCTCTTTGTTTCCCTTTCATGATAGTCATTCCCTCCTGAATTAATCTCGGGTGCATATAAGAAAATATATTGAAGTATAATTCGGCGGTAAATATTCTATTTCGTTCAAACAGAAAGTTGAGCAAGCAGGAAAGCGACCAATCCTCACGTTCTTCACCAACCGACGCACCAATCACAGGCCTTATACATAACCGAATCAACCAATGACAACCAGTCTGCCAGCCTAACGGTCATTCGTCTCAGGGAAGCTGGACTGATTAGACGTGTAGTGATCTCGCTCGTGGCGAAGTAAGTATTATTACTTTCCACTTTAAATTATTTATGCTATTTGTATCTACATTACCACTCTATCGTTACATTTGTTTAGTATCTATTCAATTCAATGCAAATAATCGTAAATTAACTCGGTATTGCTGGATAAAGTGAACTGGTTTCACGATTTCTGTTCTCTCCCGGTATCAATTAGTATTTACGCAGTTTTTGTTTAATTTGCAATCTTTAGCGATACTCTTTGAGTCAATAATTGTTTCGTTGTGACTCAGTCATTGTTAATTTAGTATAATTACTTGGTATTAACGTTTATTTTCTGTTCCAGAATTCCGGCTAGAAAGAACACGCCAACGATGCTAATCCCATTAGACGCAATTTGGCGGGAAATTGGTGAATTCTGGTGATGTATTACAACAAAATAGTTCATATTCCAAGAGATATTTTTATTTTAGTACACTTTTACTGTTTTGATCGTAAACTTGATCGCGATTTTCTGATTAACTGTGCTGAAAGCAAACAAGAATTTTTTCGAGAAATATTTCGCGTTCAAACGCAATTGAAGCATTCAATATGGCTTCTTGTTTGACCATTAGGAAATTTAAACGGGAATGTTCCAGAAGTTTCAATTCGAAATACTCATAGTTTACTGGATCTCGGTCGCGAAATTGTTTAAATTTTAATAATTTTTCGAGTTCATCATTACGATGTCATCGAATTTGTATTTATATACGGTTTCGGGTGTAAGTTGAATTATACATATAGAAGCTGCGTAGTTTACGATGCTCATCGAAGCTTAAGTAAATAACGAAGTTTTAATCCTTGCAACGATTTTCTCAATATTTATAAAATTCGGTACGCGATGTAGACAGAAATAACGAACATTCTTAAATTCTAACGACGAATGTCTTCAATATAATATATTAATAACAAATATATATCAGTAATGAATATAATATATTGAAACAATGGAGAATTATTTTGGAATATTTTTTAACTATGGTACCTTTGCGTAGTTAAATTCATATTTGAATATTTATCGTCGAATGACAGTATTTTCATGATAAAAACACTTGGTAAAATATAAAAATAAAAGGGCTAAGCCGGTGCACGTGCGCCGTATTGTATTTCTGTGCCCCCTTTTTTTTCCACAGTATTTGGTGACCGCGTGCAAGGCGGTCGAGTCGAGTCAGTGTTTGTTTACATCGAAGTTTTTTCTGTTTATGCGGAGCGAACTGGCGCCGATTAGGATCTCACCGGAGATGTCTTATGGTCTTCGCGGAATTAGAGTCAGTGTTTGTAGCGTTCAATCTCAAATAATTTTCAGAGTTTCTGGAAACTCTTTGCTTTGTGTGTCGCGAGAGTAGAATCATTTGTTCGCCGGTTGAGATTTTCGGTCGCGATAGTTTTTTATTTTCATTTTTTTTCTACTTGAAAGTACTCGTTCGCGAAAGTAGAGTCAGTGAATCACTGAAGTGGACTTTTGGGCGAAGCTCTACAAATAGAGATTGTAAGTATCCTTATATTTTATTACTTACACTGTTCAACTGAAACAGCTAGAGTTTTGAGAAGAGGTTATTACGTGTTCTGTTCCTTTGTTTCAGATTTATCAGTTGCTGCATAAACAAACACTGCAGAGGATGTCCTTGGGCAAAGCTGCACCATTTTTCAAGATTCGTCGAGAGAGAATATTAAAGGGAGCTCTTCAGTCATCGGGTGAGTCGCATGCTTTTATTCCTCCAGTCCCCAATCATGTCGTAGGACGATTGGTCCGAAACGACACGGGCGACTGGTTGTATACGTGCTTTTGGCGAGTACAGTGAAAACGGATATGCAATCGTACGATTGCATATCCGCGAGTAATATATGATTTGTTATGTTTCTTAGTTAGGTTAAGGTCTTCTTGTACGCCGCGTTTATTATTAGTAACATAATTCATAACTATTTTGTATTAAAAGAGTATGAGTTGAATATTTAATGTTCGGCTTAAAGGCGAACATCGTACGGATGAAATCACATTGGTTATGATGTACTTTCTTTAAGTGTTCAATTTAACATGAGATATTAATCTTGGATATTTCAATAGAGATCATTCTATTGTTTAAATAGTTGTTATTTTTGTATTAATTGAGTATATATTGAGAACGTGGTAGTATGTTATTTATTTCACTAGAAATGATTTTCACTGATGATGATATGTGCAGTAATTTCAGTATAGTCATTTTAATACAGTCGTTTGGTATCATTTATGAATGTAGAACGAAATACGATCTACGTAAGGAAAATTGCAGAACATAGAACATACAATATATTCACAATGGTCTATAAATAACGGTCAGCTGATTAAAAAAATAATAATCAACTTGTTAACTTGTGAAATAAATATCAACCGTAGATTCGAATATAGAGTAGAAAGAACAGAAACCACACCGGTATGTTTAAAATAGAGGGGGAAACGTGGTGGTGCCTTCTTCGATACGCATGTTATAGCAGTTGGCGCAATACCACGAGACGCGACAGCACGTTTCAATCCCGGAACCAGTGTCGCGAGACACAAAG